CTTCAGTTTTTGTTTGCATGCCCTTTTCCAATTAGGGTCAGCTGCCTGAGACCTAGTATCTGGTCATTTTGCCTGTTTGGTGTTTCCTGACGGATCTTTGCTACACTACTGACTGATTTCCTGGACTCTGACCTCTGCCTGCTTTACCGACTTTGTTACTCCGCTGCCAGCCTGACTTCTGCTTCTCATCTGACCCTGCCTTTTGATTTCCCCTTAATCTGTACTGCGCTTCTGGTTTTTGCCTTCTTCCTGTGCCATCTCCTGCAACTGGGTTCCAACTCTTGGTAAAATGTTACATAAGTCCCCAGGTGACTGTTACACCTTGTCAACTTCTCCAGACGGTCACAGAACTCCACTACATATGGAACTATGGGAGTCCCATCCTGGCTAGTATCCCCTACCCAGTGTTCCTGGATAAGGTCGAGGGGCTCTCTCACCCACCTTCCAAAGAGTAGCTCAAACGGGGAGAATCCTGTGGATTCCTGAGGCTCCTCCCGGTATGCAAACAAGAGGTGCGGCAGGAGTCTCTCCCAGTCTCGGCTGGTGACTGCGAACATTCGGAGGACTTGCTTCAATCTTCCGTTGAACCGTTCGAATAGGCTGTTGGTTTGGGGTGGTAAGGAGAGCTCATAATCGGCTTAATGCCACAGAGCTTCCAGAGTTGGTGGGTGATCTCTGCAGTAAATTGGGAGCCCTGATCCGATACTATCTCCCGGGGAAATGCCATGCGGGAGAAGATTTGCATCAGGGCTTCCGCGACCGTTTCTGCATGAATGTTGTTCAGCGCCACAGCCTCTGGGTATCTGGTCACATAATCCACCACGGTCAAGATATATTTCTTGCCGGAGGGTCTAGGCTTAGCTAAGGGCCCGACTAGGTCTACTGCTATCCTGCTAAACAGTTCCTCAATGACGGGGAGAGAGTGGAGTTTGGCCTTGTGGCGATCTTCCCTCTTACCTACTCTTTGGCAAGTATCGCACGACTGGCGATACTGCCTAATATCCTGAGAGATCCCGGGCCAGAAGATGTTTTGTAAATATGTTTTTATTGAACATTTCGTTTGTTGGTTTTTTTTTTTGCTTTGGTTTTTCGTTTGTTTTCAACATAGAACAGAAAAACATGGACACGCAGGTCCCTTTG